AGGGTCAAGATACAAAGTAGACGAGCGTAGCGATGCCAACAAATATTGTTTTAATAAAGAAAATATAGTAAAAATGTCAGATAACGGAAACCCACAATATTTGCTAGGATGCCGTATGGGATGTGTGGGGCGTAGCCCCAGATTTTTTTTATACAAGCTCCGTGCATTATTTGATGCATTTTAAAATGTTAATATGTTCCCATTCCCGGCCGATCAGACCATTATTGGCCGGCCCGGAAAAGGTTAGTCCGCCGCCAAAAGGGGGGGCCGGGGCCGGGACCGGGGCCGGGTGTGCCCCCCCCCCCCCCCCCCCCCCCCCCCTAAATCCGAGCCTGGTATCCAAATCGGGACACTTAATTGAAGGAAAAAATCACAAGAAATTTGCATGCTGTGCAAAGAAGTATTTTTAAATTGAAAATATTGATTTAAAGATGCTAATATACCAATAACACATCATATGAACTTTATTTACTGCCACTTATGGTTACAATCACAGTTTTTGATTGTGAATAATAACGAAAATGTAACGTTCTAAATTGATGCGCCATGCGTCGTTATTGATTTTCAATTTTTGTATGTGACTTTTCACAATCCTACTATTTCACAACTAATGGTAGTTTGGAAAAGAAATTCATTCAGAACGACCCTTAATTGACTCTTAAATATTCCAAAGTTATGCCATGTTCTGCTAAATACTCCTTTCATCTCCAAATATAAGCCAAAACTGGTAGGGGTGTCCCGATTTGGATACAGCTACACCTGTTTCGCGATTACGTAACCATGGCCGTTTTCGTTTAAACGGTCAAACCGGTCGGACCACTTTTGTTCGTTTATCAAATAAGGTCGGACCTAGTAATCTGATGCTGCTTTCAGGCGAGCCTTGACAAAGCCTTGCAAGGCTTGCATACACATTTGCAGGTCCGCCAGGATTTATACCCGAAATTGTTACATTTATAAACGGTCAAACCGGTTGTTCCGCATAAACGAACCGGCCCCAGGACTATATTTCTGGTTCTATTTATAGAGCCACGCACCGGAAATATCAAATTGTAATCAAAATGAAAAGATAATGATATCTATTTAGGAAAAGTTTACAAAAAATACTGGGATCGGTACTATGGTATGAAATACATCATTATTTCACTAAAAAGTGTCCTGATTTAAGTAATGTGACGTTACACGAACAATTGTCTGTCCGTCAGTTAATGTCACGTTCAAATAAATTTTATTTAAAAGTCGATACATGGTTAAACAAAGCAACACTAGCCTATGGCCAATATTGTGATTTGTCCTCGTATACGTAATGCTTGAATATGTTGTGATATATGTTACGTTCGTCTGTAGTTTTTCGAACCCATATATTTCTGTTTATTTGGAACTGGGCGTATATATGTGTATTGGTCCGTCTCTAGCAACGAACGCTTGAAACCTCCAAATGGAACATGGAGCGGAGGACCTTACCATTGAGTTAACTGTAAACAAAGCTAAACGGTTGGTGTAATCTGTATATCGCCCATCTGACAATCAAAACACAACTTTAAATGATTTTCATAACAAGCTTGATAAAGTGTATACATTATATGAACATATTACTGTATTGGGTGATGTCAATTTTCCCGCAGGAAAAAAACCCAACAAATTCAGGGATGTTTGTGATGTTTTTTACCCTAAAAACTTGGTGACAACTAAACTTCACATGTTTTATGAAAAACTGTAAGCCATCCCTTGTAGATGTGTTTTAACCAGCAAACCAAGTTTCTTTTTTAACTCAAATATTATAGACAGTGGACTTAATGACAAGCATCATCTTATTATAACGGTTATGAAAGGTAGTCTACCTGCAATGACGTAATAAATGATCACATTCATATTAAACAAAAATTCCAAAGGAAATCACAGGCTCGTTTTATGAATGGTACTCTTAGGAAAGTAATAAATAAAAAGACTTGTTTAGGAAATGTAACCGATGTAAAACCGACAAAAACTGACGAAATTTCAAAAAATAGAGAAACCTTGTAACAAAACTTAAGAGTTAAGCAAAAAGATTGTATTTTACTGAGAGGTGCGGAGGCGGACATGGGTCAAAAGATTTCTGGCCGACCATCCGACCTTTTTTCTCA